AGGAGGAAAGAGGAGTGATTGGTGGAATGATGAAGTAAAGGGTGTGATAAAGAGAAAAAGGTAGCTTATGAGTAGGTTTTTACAAAACAGAAGTGTTATAAGAAGAGCAGAGTATATGGAGAGTAAAAGAAAGGTAAAGAGAGTGGTGAGAGAGTGCAAAAGGAGAGCAGATGATAGAGTGGGAAGGCACTGTCAAGAAATTTTAATGAAAATAAGAAAAATTTTGGAGTGAGTTAAACAAGTTAAGAAAGCCAAGGGAAAATATGGATTTGTCAGTTAAAAACAGAGTAGGGGAGTTAGTAGATGGGGAGATGGAGGTATTAGGTAGATGGCGAGAATATTTTGAGGAACTTTTAAATGTTAAGGAAGAAACAGAGGCAGTAATTTCATGCACTGGTCAGGGAGGTATACCATCTTTTAGGAGTGAAAGAAGAGCAGAATGTAAGTGTGGGGGAGGTACGTGAGGCATTACGTAAAATGAAAGGGGGTTTAAAGCAGCTGGAACTGATGGGATCATGACAGAAATGTTAAAAGCAGGGGGGGATATAGTGTTGGAGTGGTTGGTACTTTTGTTCAATAAATGTATGAAAGAGGGGAAGGTACCTAGGGATTGGCAGAGAGCATGTATAGTCCCTTTATATAAAGGGAAAGGGGACAAAAGAGACTGTAAAAATTATAGAGGAATAAGCTTACTGAGTATACCAGGAAAAGTGTACGGTAGGGTTATAATTGAAAGAATTAGAGGTAAGACAGAATGTAGGATTGCGGATGAGCAAGGAGGTTTCAGAGTGGGTAGGGGATGTGTAGATCAAGTGTTTACATTGAAGCATATATGTGAACAGTATTTAGATAAAGGTAGGGAAGTTTTTATTGCATTTATGGATTTAGAAAAGGCATATGATAGAGTGGATAGAGGAGCAATGTGGCAGATGTTGCAAGTATATGGAATAGGTGGTAAGTTATTAAATGCTGTAAAGAGTTTTTATGAGGATAGTGAGGCTCGGGTTAGGGTGTGTAGAAGAGAGGGAGACTATTTCCCGGTAAAAAGTAGGTCTTAGACAGGGATGTGTAATGTCACCATGGTTGTTTAATATATTTATAGATGGGGTTGTAAAGGAAGTAAATGCTAGGGTGTTCGGGAGAGGGGTGGGATTAAATGTTGGGGAATCAAATTCAAATGGGAATTGACACAGTTACTTTTTGTGATGATACTGTGCTTATGGGAGATTCTAAAGAAAAATTGCAAAGGTTAGTGGATGAGTTTGGGAATGTGTGTAAAGGTAGAAAGCTGAAAGTGAACATAGAAAAGAGTAGGTGATGAGGGTGTCAAATGATTTAGATAAAGAAAAATTGGATATCAAATTGGGGAGGAGGAGTATGGAAGAAGTGAATGTTTTCAGATACTTGGGAGTTGACGTGTCGGCGGATGGATTTATGAAGGATGAGGTTAATCATAGAATTGATGAGGGAAAAAAGGTGAGTGGTGCGTTGAGGTATTGTGGAGTCAAAAAACGTTATCTATGGAGGCAAAGGGAATGTATGAAAGTTAGTAGTACCAACACTTTTATTGGGTGTGAAGCTTGGGTGGTAAATGCAGCAGCGAGGAAACGGTTGGAGGCAGTGGAGATGCCCTGTTTAAGGGCAATGTGTGGTGTAAATATTATGCAGAAAATTCGGAGTGTGGAAATTAGGAGAAGGTGTGGAGTTAATAAAAGTATTAGTCAGGAGGGCAGAAGAGGGGTTGTTGAGGTGGTTTGGTCATTTAGAGAGAATGGATCAAAGTAGAATGACATGGAAAGCATATAAATCTATAGGGGAAGGAAGGCGGGGTAGGGGTCGTCCTCGAAAGGGTTGGAGAGAGGGGTAAAGGAGGTTTTGTGGGCGAGGGGCTTGGATTTCCCAGCAAGCGTGCGTGAGCGTGTTAGATAGGAGTGAATGGAGACGAATGGTACTTGGGACCTGACGATCTGTTGGAGTGTGAGCAGGGTAATATTTAGTGAAGGGATTCAGGGAAAAACCGGTTATTTTCATATAGTCGGACTTGAGTCCTGGAAATGGGAAGTACAATGCCTGCACTTTAAAGGAGGGGTTTGGGATATTTGCAGTTTGGAGGGATATGTTGTGTATCTTTATATGTGTATGCTTCTAGACTGTTGTATTCTGAGCACCTCTGCAAAAACAGTGATAATGTGCGAGTGTGGTGAAAGTGTTGAATGATGATGAAAGTATTTTCTTTTTGGGGATTTTCTTTCTTTTTTTTGGGTCACCCTGCCTCGGTGGGAGACGGCCGACTTGTTGAAAAAAAAAAAAAAAAAAAAAGAGTATTTCAAAGACAGGTCATATGGTCATTTGCTGAGTTGCTGAGCATTCAATAGAATGGAGTATTGTATTCTATTAGGTAATGCAGTTAAAAAACAAAGTTGATAGGGTCACAGGTTATACATTTATGAGATACAGTTATTCTGTATTTATTTAGATGTAGGTAAGTGGTTTTTAAGAAGAGCCTTGAATTTATAAACAGACAGTGTTTTATATTCACAGGTAATGAATTCCAGATTTTTGGGCCTTTTATGTGCATTGAGTTTTTGCATAGTGTGAGATGGACACGAGGAACATCAAAGAGTGATCTGTGCCTTGTGTTAAGGTCATGTGTTCTGTTGAGGTTGGTAAGGAGACATCTGAGGGGAAGGTTTATATCCGGGTCAAGTGTTCTATGTATGTAGAAGGTACAATAATAAGTATGGATGTTTTGTACGGTGAGTAGGTTTAGAGTTTTGAATATTGGTGGAGTGTGCTGCCTGTAGTGGGAATTTATCTATCTGACTGCAGCCTTTTGTTAGGTAATTAATGATCTGAGATGATTTATTGTTGTTGAGCCCCAAGCACAAATTCCATAGGTGAGATAGGGGTAAATGAGTGAGTGATATAGGGCCAGGAGGGCTGACTGTGGAACGTAGTACTGTATCTTCATTAGTATGCCTATGGTCTTGGAAATTTTTTTGGCAGATGATGCAACATCCCCCAATGAAAAGCAGGGGTGTCACTAACACGTTAAGAGACCATACAATAAGTGCCAGGGGCCCGAGACTGTTCAACTGCCTCCCACCATACATAAGGAGGATTACCAATAGACCCCTGGCAGTCTTCAAGCTGGCACTGGACAAGCACCTAAAGTCAGTACCTGACCAGCCGGGCTGTGGCTCATACGTTGGTTTGCGTGCAGCCAGCAGTAACAGCCTGGTTGATCAGGCTCTGATCCACCAGGAGGCCTGGTCACAGACCGGGCCACGGGGGCGTTGACCCCCGGAACTCTCTCCAGGTAAACTCCAGGTACGTGCTTGAAATTTGAATCTATTATCAAGGTGGATTCCTAAGAATTTTCCCTCTGTGAGCTTTGTGATAAGTGATTCGTTTATCATTATGTTAAGAGGGACATCTGTAGCTCTGTTACCAAACTGAATGAAGTAGGTTTTGTCAATGTTTAGTGTAAGTTTGTTAGTCATCATCCAGGTAGATATTTTCTGTAATTCGGTGTTTACAGTATTGGCTAGCATGACTGGGCTTGGGTGAGAGAAGACGTATGTAGTGTCATCTGCAAATAGTGTGGGTTTGAGTAGTTGTGATGCATTTGGTAGGTTGTTTATGTAAACAAGAAAGAGAAGAGGGCCAAGGACACTTCCTTGTGGGACACCAACTGTAATTGGCTGTGCGGAAGAGTTTGCCACCTTTGTGTACACATACTGGCTTCTGTTGCTGAGGTATGACTTTAGGTAGTTGAGGGAGTGCCCTCTTATACCATAGTGTGACAATTTTATGTGGAGCAAATCATGGTCAACTCTATCAAAAGCTTTACGTAAGTCAATGAAGATCCCCAGTGGGACTTCTTTTTTCTCGAGTGAAGTGTATATTTATTCTAGCATGTGTATAATAGCATCATTTGTATTTTTATTAGGCCTGTACCAAAATTGACAGGGGTTGAGTATGTTGTGGGAGATGAGGTAGGAATAGATTCGCTTATGAATTAATTTTTCGAAGATTTTAGAGAGAGGGTGTAAGTTGGATACTGGCCTATAGTTATTTAAGTTTGTTTGGTCGCTTCTTTATGTATGGGGGTGACCCTCGCTATTTTGAGAACTGTAGGGAAGGTAGAGAATTCGATGGATTTGTTAAAGAGTGTTGCAATGATTGGTGACAGCACTTGCGACGCTTTTTTGTATATTTAAAAGGGTGGTAAGGTATTTAAATCTCCTGTCTTGTTTTTTAGTGCGTTGATATAAGGGAGACTCCTGTTGGGTTAGTAGGAGCTAGGAACAGTGTGTTCGGGTAGTTGCCAGTGAGGTAGTCATTGGGTTGTGGTATTTCAGCTTGGGATTTTATTGGCAAGATTTTTTCCTATGGTGGAGAAGAAATCATTGAGTCTGTTTGCTGTTTCAGTTGGTGGGAGTTGGAGTTCATCTGGTTTTGTTAGTTCAATTGTGCTATTTCCTGATATCTTTTTTGTTTCTAGTATTTCTGATAGGGTTTTTCAGGTCTTTTTTATGTCACCTTTTAAGTTGGATAATCTGTTCTCATAATACAATTTTTTAGCCCTTCTTATCAGGCTGGTTAGGATTGACGAGTAACATTTTGTTTGGTCTCTGGTGATGTGACCCATTGTGTACTGTTTTCTGTATAGGTGCTTTGTATTTATGGATTTGAGGATGCTGGGTGTTAGCCAGGGACTGTTCAGTCTCTTAGCTGTCATCTGTTTAGTTTTTTAGGGCAGTGCTTGTTATAGAGGTATTGGGTCTTTTCTAGAAAATTATTAATACATTCGTCAGTATCTGTATAGATTTCTAGCTCAGAGTGCCAGTCGATGTTTGTCACTGCTGTTGTGAAGTTATTAATGGCTGCCTCATTGTGAAGTCTGAAAGTGACTTTAGTAGTGTCTTGGGGTAATTTACTTAGATTAGTTATGAGGAAGGTAGGGTAGTGGTCTGGGGTATTATCTGTGATTATACCTGATTTTAAAGGGGATATGGTGTTGATCCAGATGTGGTCTAGTAGGTCATTGCTTGTGTTTCCTGCTAGTTAAGTTGATCTCTCAACTGTACAAAATACTGCCTTACACATGCTCGTGCCTCCTCTGCAGTTCCACCTGTATCAACTTCTACTGACCCACTTTCAGCAGAGGAACCTTCCAGATGTTGAGCTACACTTTCTAAGAAATCAAACAAAATGCATATTATATGATAAACAGAGCAGAAAATATATATTAATATACTTTAAGAGAAATGTAATAGATTACTGCATTAATAACATGATGATCCGAGTATTTTTTGAGGTCAAAATGAATTTACTATTTCTGCTGTCAGACAGAAATGCTCATTAATTAATTATCAAAACCTAGGCAGCGAAAGGGCTCAACCATTTTAGTGACCATCTGAAAGCTTTGAGAAAAAGCTAAAACATTGGACAACTGCAACTAGCAAAGGGGTTCTAGGTCCAAAGTTTGAACAATGCATTTTCAAGAGAGAAAATCTGGTATAAAAGATTACCACTCATAGTTTACACAGTTTCTTACACATTACCAGCATCAATTTCTGAATGTAATGTGATGTATCAAATTAATATACTTTTTTTTAATTTAGGTTAGGGTCTACCCAGATCAGGACTCACAGTGTGTGATCAACCAGGTGATAGCCACAAGAAATCCAACACATGCACCACAACCTGGTTAATCAGGAACTGACATGAGAAACTCGGATCACATAAACTTATAAAAATTTATATTTAACTACAAATAAGCAAATTTAAAAAACTAGCGTATGACTGGCAGAGGAGTGTCTCAGAAAATATATAGATGTCAAAATGAGCAAGGTGTGAAGACCAATTAGGGAATGTGTGAGGTTTGCTATAGGTCTACGTATTCACTGGCACAGCACTGTACTGAAATGATAACCCTCCTTCCTCCTGCAATCCATCTAGTAGGAAACCTCATTTTTTACAAATGTGAGTATAAAGAGGCATTCTCAAGATTTTATCTATAAAACATGTGGTATGAAAACATGCCAGCATAAAACATAAACAGGGCAAAAGCACATATAAATCATATACATGTATAAACCTACATTTCTATATCAAAAAGAAAAATTAACCAAAGAACACACTGGAGATACAGTAGATGAAAAAAAACTGCAGTTCTGCATTCATATATATTGATATCACAGTGAGTTATAAACAGTGGCCTCTGATTCTTTAGGGCTTAGTACCACATGAAAATTGCAATGTTCCAAAATTTCAGTGCTCAAGTCTTCCAGTAACATAAACCAAAGTGTAATATAGTTTCTCAACCAGATTTTTGTTTTAACACAAAATACAGTACACCCATTTGTTAGCCTCAGATCAATTGTTAAGTACCCAAACATCACTGATTATAAACAGAATGTTGGTATTGTATATCACTGATAATAAAATATGGTTAATATGTAAAACTGAAAAAACTAAAATCTTAACACTTCAACCATTACAAGGTAAAGCTCCTTATTACTAAAATACTTAACGTTGGACATGAAATATTCAGAACTCGAAACACTCAGCATTAACAATACTGCACACTCCTCACCTAGCTTATGAGGTGAATCAGTTAGTTCTGAGCTACTCTGTGTGTTGTATGGCTGTATTGATAGTGGAACAGATCCTCTCAGCTTCTTGCTCTAATAATAATGTCTCTTCTTGTAACTTGGTCATGATTATGACCAGATCTAGTTCATTACCTTTGTAACTTGCTCAGCTATCAAAACTTTGGAGTCCAGTCCCTGGACCAATTATGTACCTCTGTAATCTTTTGACTACCGCCCACAGGATGGGTATGGGGTGCATAATAAACATATTAAACTAAACTAAACTTGTATAAGAAATGTTCATGCGTGTGATGAGTAATATTTATAAAGCTCTTGCCTGGGCAAAATGTTGTTGTCACTGCAGTTCTAAGTTGCTGTCTGTGTTCATTTCTGATCTACTGGTATTTTGTGCCATTACTGTACCTGCCCAACATTGTGTGTATGTGTGTGTGTGTGTGTCAGCAAAATCTAGATTTACAGTCTGGCTACTATAGAAGAGAAGAAGTGAGAAACACTGATACACAGTATGAAGTGTAAGTACATAATGGAAATTAAATTATATTGATACAATATAGTGTTCATCCATATACGTACAACATACATAATATACAGAGGAATGACAATACATATTGAAACACTAGATATGCTTACTCACAAACATACCAACTGGTACATCATACAAAAAAAAAAAAAAAACATTCTTGGCAATTATATAACAAGCTCTTTTTTTTCTTTAAGGAATACAGTACCTTATGTTTTGTGTGCTTGTAATGTTTGCAGATAAAACACATTAATGGAGCTGACTGGCAGCTTTCTTCTAAACACACAGATTCAACTGTATGAAACGAATGGTTCATCTTGCCTTCTCACAAGGTTTTTCTGAAAGGAAAAAAGTACTGTATTGTATGTGCATTGTATTTCCTTGTGCCTTCTACCTTGCCTCTTCTTGTTAAGGTCTTTCCTCTTCTCTGTTCCTCAGATTTCTCTAGAATACTACATTTGTCTTTCTCATCTACCATAGATTTTTTTCTTCCCTTTGCCTTTCCTTTTTATCAATACAGGAGTAATTTTCTCAATGAAACCAAAACTTATGCAGTACAAACTGTCCTCTAAAACCTAACAAATAATAACAAAGGCTAGCATCATAAAATATCTTACAAAAGAAACATTTATCATACAAAGTGATAAGGAATGACAATGAAAACAAGCATAGGTCATTGATATCTCAGGATGATTCTGATCATGATGAAATTTGGATTAAAAACAAAAAACTGGGCAAAGGGTCACTAACCCACACCCCTGAGGGTGCATGCAAGCCTTTAACTAAATGTGCGGGGGCTCTCAAGATGCATCAGACTTCAGCACCTCTGGAAACAACAGTAAAGTACATGAATGGTCAGAGAACTATTGATATAAAT